AAAACGTATATTTTGTTTATTTCATATTGTATATCGTGCTTTAAAAATATATTTCGAAAATACAAAGGTCAACTAAGGTTTTACTAACGTGGTCGCAAAAGTCATGACACAAATAATATCATAATATATTTATTGACTGCTGCCTTAGAAAATAATTGTTACTACGTTTTTCCATTGAATGTATTAATATTATAATATACGAATAACTTATTACATTTTGAACAAAACTTTTCTTTGTGCACACCTCCAGAAGAAGTAGTTGCATCAATAGAGTTGGACATGAAAATTGTTCAAACTCCTTCGTTCTCGGCTGCTTTTCTTGTACTTGTTGTGTGTTCGCAGCATATTTAATGAGCCACACATGTTGATGGCTCTGGCAGTCTGTAAGTCAGGTTTTTTTGTTAGCTTTTTTTAGCAGAGTAGTGTGTGCTTCATGCTGGAATTATTTCAATGGCTCAAGTATTGCCAAATTTATTCTCTTGCTGTGAAACTGAAGATGAAGCGTGTTGGCATTTCTTCAATTATAATGACACAAATTTCACTCTATGATGAAGCCGCATACACGAACTCATATGCAAATGTGGTTATTAAAAGCATTACAAATTGTTGAGAAAGGAAAGACAATTACACCTGAATGCAAAAAATTATATCTAAATCAGAAAAGTTCTTGATATTTATAATGATATATTGTTAATATGGCTACCAAAGTTTAATAGTACTTAAACAAATGAATGCTTATAAATTGTAGTTCAAATTAAGCTTAAGAACATTTTGTTTTTTTTTTTGTTTGTCCATTAAAATAAATGTTTATAAAGAACGTGCTTAATTATCAATTGTTACAATTAAAAAAAAACGATTTCAAGAATAGGGTCAGACATAGACAAGCCGCTTTTGCTGACTAGTGTAGTCATGCTCACGTTTCAATTCTCAATGATCGCTTATTGACTCGCACTGACTTCGATTTCTATTCATGTTCCGTGTTCTAAGACAATTTGCAAAAGTGAAAATAGGCCCAGATCTCAATCTCGAGCGAAGTATTTCTCTTTCCAGAGCTTTCCATTGTTAATAGATTTTCTGCCTGGGCGAGATTTACATAATCCTAAGTGCTAGTTGTGCCTGCCACGATTGGCCGGTGAAAGTTGTTACAAATTATAAGTTTAGAATGCGCCCAAAAATATGCCCAGTAGTCACAAAACAAAGCCTAGATCTGGAGCCCACTGAAAACAACGCAAAATGTTGCACTCGACTTTGGTTTTGCTTTTCGCCTTTCACAAATCAACGTCCAAATATGGAGGGAGTGCTCTCCATCGCCTTCCCGAAAAGCCAGATAAATAAATCTGTCAGTGGGGCGTTGCTACTGTGTCAAATGGTCGGACGAGTTAACAAAGTATCTATCAGATGCGAATGCTCAATACCCAATTTTATTGTTGCCGAATCGATGTCACGGCTACAGTTCGACTTGGAGCTCTATTTTGGCTCAAATAGAGAATTTATTGTCAGCCAAGTGGCTTTGTGGCGATTCGGGACAGTGGAACTAGTTAATTGGGTTGATTTCTTTGGCTGAACATCAGTGTCTTCACTTTTGCTAAATAAAGATGTTAAATTCCGAGGAGAGATTTGTGTTGGTTTAACGGTTAATGTTTAATTAAATTAGATTTCTGTACATTGTTTATTGTTCAATAAAAATATTTTACCGCTTCTTTAATGTTTTAACTTTTATTTGAATATATCTTTTTTTGATTTATTGAAAGTCAGAGGAAATATTCTCTTCGTATTAAACTGTACCAAATTTTTCATTTGTCGATAAACATCTCAAAGTCAAATACTCTTATCCTGAACTAAAATATGTGCCAAAACTACATTGGTTCACTTTCGATGGTGAAATTCTATTATTCACACATTTCTTTCAGGGCATTTACAGTTCTCTGCTGAGTTCATCTCCTAAAACCATTGTCGAATATCTTCTATAGAAGCTCTTCCAACTAGGTTAATGAAACTGAAACCCTAAAAACTTTTAATTTCTTCAAAACCCCCGTAAACTGGGTTGCAAAAGTCAAACTAACTCTTCATTGTGATTAACTAATCGAGCAATCAGAGACTTTTAGATCTCAACACTTTCGCTCGGATCCCGGGGGCAGTATAATAAATGACTTGATTAATTTTGCTCAGTGTATGGAAAGGCCAAAATAAAAATGAAGTGTATAAATAAAGTTGTCTGGGCGTAATTGCTTGGCCCCATTATGGGGGTTCTCGGTCTTGGACACCTGAGTGGCATTTGCTCCCACAGCCTCGCTTTCTTTCGGTTCGGTTTTGTCTTTGCTCATGTAATTACTGTAATTTATTTATGAGGCGACTGGGTTTACACACGTTCTGAATATAGTGGGATACCCATAGAGATTCTTGATACCATTTGCGAGTGCGTGGCGAGCTGGAGTTCCTCTGCGAAAATTATGGAATTATGTTTTGGCCCGGCCCCGATGCAAATCGCCTTTGGAAAATCTGTAATTAAGCCGGGGATTTCACCAGCTGCAAATTCAGGCCCTAGGCCAACCTCAGAGAAAGAGAGATTTCACCTCGATTTAATTCATCCCTGTTGCTGCCAGTAATGCCAGTGTTCTAAGCCTCCATTTTCATGGCCAAGTACACGACGTTGGCATGCAAATGAGCCACAAGTGGCTCTCAATTAAAAGCAGAGTCAACCACAACAAAATAAAAGTCAACTGCAGCTGATTTATTGTGTGAAACTGAAATTCTTTTCGGTGCTTGCCGTTTGGTTTTATTCTGTGACTTCTGCTTTTTTTTCGTGCCTCGTGAAAGTTTCTCTAGCATAGATCTGCAGTGGCCTGACATTCAGATAATGACTTGATTAAAAGTTGTCATGAGAACCGACTGCTGCGACTAAATTGTGCAAGGCCAAAAGACAGCCGAAGCGGACCCACCAATCCAGTATGCAAAGAGAGCTCCAATTAAGCGAAGAAGCTCTGCGCATTCGAGCTTGAGTTCCTGCAGCGATCAGTCGGGGTATTGCTACTGGATGGGTTTCCCTGACTCTTTCATAAATTATTTAAATAAATTAATCAATAACTTGTATTGCTGTATTGCTGCAGGAGAGGTTTTCCAATTTAATAAGTTGTTAAATTATGTTTTTTTATTGCTTTTGAATGGGTTTTCCTGACCAGTAGTTTAAATACTTGGATTAATATTTGTTATGGTTCCTTAGTCAAAATTGTCATTAGTCCTTTCTTTTCATGTTATATTTCACTTGTGAACACATCACATTTTATACAAATTTTGTTTAGGTAAGGTTTTTAAATAAATTAGTTCAACAGAAATCGTATGTCGTTTGATTTAATTTGATGTACATATGTTTAATTATTTCTAACAACATTTATCCGCGAATATTATTAATCTGTGAAAATTTCCAAGAGTAAATTATTAAAAAAAAATATTTAATATTTTACATTGATTTTTGATATTGTAACAGCTGAGTGTACATTCATTGAATGTATAAAAAAATTTAAGATTGTCATCATATGATTGAATTTAATTAAACTTTGACTCCTATGTAAACTATCTCCGCAAAGGTTATCTATGGAGTTACTCAATATGATCAATTTATATGTTTAACAGAGTATCCAAAGTCCTCTGTCATAGAACCTCAAAGTCTTCATGGTTCTTTCCAGATTTTCGTTTGCATTTGCATGCCAGTGAGTTTCGCTGCTAATCACGTTCTTAATGAAAGTGGCTGCAGTGGCCAGTTCGGAGTGGTCCGTGGACAACATTGTTGTTTGTTGTTTGTTGTTAGTTGCTAGTTGGCTCTTGGCTCTTGGCTGTTACCCGTCGGATGGGGATGGTTCTTGGACAAGTCGGTGGCCAGAAGTCTGGCAGTCGGTGGATCTTTCGCTGGCAATGACCGCCATTCGCCTGGCTTTATTTGATTTTCATGTTTGTTTGGCTGTTTTCCAGTTGTTGCGTTTGCATGCAACTCGCGTCTGGCTGGATTTCGAGGAGTGTGAAGTGGATTCTTTGGGGCAGAACTCTTCTTCGTCGACCAGACCCGTTCTTGGAGCCCCTCTCATTTTGAGTAGTATAATTTATGACTGCGGCTTGGTGTCGCTGAGACTCCATTGCCTTCCCTATTTGTGTATTTATTGATGGATTTTGGCAGCATTTGCGTTTGGCCCATTTTCGTGTGAGAATTTATGCCAAGCGCTCGAATGCAGGGGAAAATGGATAAACAAAGCGATAAAGTTGTGTGAAGTTATTGAGTAGATTAAGGAGGAAATACTGAAAGATCTGTTTCGTGTTCAGTTACGTTTTGACCGAAACTTTAAGAGGATTAAGTGAGAATAGAAAGCTGGAGCCAGCTGGAAAGATATGTTCAAGTGAATTTTAATCTATTTAAACACTATTAATCCATATATCTAAAAAAGGAAGGGCTAGTTAGTTCGCTTTGATTAAAGGCTCCATTAATCGTCATAAATAGTCTTAAATGACTGATATGATTATTTACTAAAATATTAAAAATTAGATCAGTAAATTATTTTTAAACATTCAATTTAATATGAAAATTAAAGAAATAAAATAATAAATAAAATAATTATATTCACCGCTAAACTAAAGCAAATTATTTGCAAAATTTGCCTTTTATTTAAAAAACTTAAAGGAAAATGTAGGCCTGTCCCGATCTCCACACGTACTTGTTTAAAAACTCGGTTGAACATTAACGTATAACAATTAGTTTGCGGTTCTTAAGTTGAACTAAACCAACTTTTCAGCTTTTACCTGAGTTGCTTTGATATTATTTCTTACCTAATCTTAACAATCTCTCGCACATCTTGTAGTACTCGCGTCAATTTAGCTCTCTAAAAATGCTTATTCAAATGAAGTAGTTGGCCCGGGCAACCTGTTGCATAGTTTCGCTAACATTATCCAACATCGTATAACTAATGACCACCACTTACCCCCATCTCCGTCTCCAACTTTGCCTATCTTTGCAGCTGTGAAGCGAACAAATTTTCTTTTTGTAACGCCGCGCATATGGTTCATTAAAAGTGTGGCAGAACTTTGGCACTGGCGACAAGAAGCCAACAACGAACAACGAGCGACGACGACCTGTGGCAATGCTCGGGCAAATTGTGCGGGTAATTTCCAGCTCGGCTTAATTTGGTTTTGGCCTAAGCCAAATGGGCATGTGCACCGTTCGCCGCTGTCATTCGAAAGTTGCCCCTGCGTGACACACATTCGGAGCATTAGTGTTGGACGGTCGCTGGCAGACAAGTTGGAGCGCTGCCCTGCCGCATCTGGGATCCATCGATATACCAAGGGGGACCACGAGTCGGGGGACTCCTCGCCGGCCCAAGTCCAAAGTCGGCTCTGCTGCATTATTCATGCTCTTCGGCGGCATCCACGCAACGGGAACGACCGAAGATGACGCTGCGCTTACTCAGCATATTATCGGCGGCATTACTTCTGCTCTGGCCCGCACAGCTGGACGCGTTTATCACGCCGAATACAGGTGAGTGCGGGATGCGGGGTGCGGGGTACGGTGCGGTACGGGGCCAGCGGATAAACTCTGTGAAATGTGTGGCATTGGGTGAGATGCCGATTCTACTCTAGCGGAAAAGCACCTGATAAAGTGGAAAACTTGGCATCGAATATTTTGATTTAATTTGTTAGGATTACGATTCTAGTTTCATAAAAAAACAAAAATCTAAGAAAACTGAAAAAAAATGAATTGCAAATTGTAAAACCGTCTTGTCTTATTTAAATATGTATGTATGTCATGAAACAAAAATTTAATGGTTAGTAAAGTTAGTCAGTTGTTGTAGGCTATTATTAAAACTATTTATATTTCCTTGGAAAATTATTATGTTGTATTTTTTATAGAATTTTTCTAGATTTTTTAATACAATTTAAGCAATACTTAAAATGTTAAAATAAGATAATTTTGTTTTATTGAAAAGTTTCAATGTTCATTGAAAATTTCAAGTTTAATTTTTTATTATTTTAAAGTAACTGTCTACCTTATCCACCTTAAACTCAATAAAACAACCTTTCCGCAATGACACGTTAAGCTCCACAAATCATTGCTTAAAAAACCTTTACTACAACTTAACCACAAGAAGATGGTAGGTAGTTGTAGCCGAAAACCAATTATTGTTTCAATCTACCCGTATGTGGTCACAGCAATTCAGTCTGTTCTTGGGACTCCAGTGAAATCCTGTGACTGTAAGGACAACCTTTCAGGGCACTGAAAACCCGAGGGCAGGGTAATGAACATGCTGGCATTGTACCTACGAGCCCACCATGTATTTTTGTGGCGCCGTTTCAGAAAAGTTTCAGTCAGAAAAGTTCCAAAGTTCAAGACAAAAGCCTTCAAATCCCACAGATCGGCCTTTGGCGGAAGTGAATCCATGGATGGAATAAATTTTATAATATAATATATTAAATATTAATAATAATATATAATAATTAAAACATCCTCCAACGGCGAACTTAGAATCAATTATCCTTATCGCCTCAATCAAAATACTTGAAACGAAAAGTTATAATAAATTATTTCATTGTTCTATTAGCTATGCAGAATATGGAGCGGCTTACAAGGTTACATTAAAAACAATATCAAATAAATTCAATAAATTATTTTATTCATTTCTTCCATAACTTTACTAAAGCCTCTCTTAATGTAACCTGTGATTAATTTGAATTAAAATTCACCTTTAGGCTGCCATCACAATGGCACTTGGTTCGCGGACAAATCTGTGGTTCCGAGCATGGAGAAATGCCTCAACTGCCAGTGTAACCGGAAGACGCTGGTGTGTCGCCTGAAGGTCTGTCCCGAAATGCCCATGCCGCCGCCCAGGGGTTGTGTGGTGGTCCAGAAGAAGAGCACCTGTTGCCCATATCTCTCCTGCGCAAGATTGGATGCCTTCTACAAAATACCCACCAAGCGCCGCATCATCGCCTATTTGGATCACTACGAGAGGGAGTCCATCGATCGGGTGGTGAACGACAATATGCTGCAAAGGCGCTCAGATGATTCCGACACGGATCTGTTTGGTGAGTAAATGATATATTTTTTAAAGAGAATGTGTTCTTTAATTGATTATGTAACTTGCAGTCTGTGTGAAGAATGGAACTGTCTATAAGTCGGGCTCTGCTATGTCGTCCTCGAATTTGTGCAGCTACTGCTATTGCATAGGTGAGTAGTTTCAACCAAACATAAAATTAGAAATTCATACCTTAGTAATGGTACTTAAAATTGATATGGTAATTACTCAATATCCACTATAGGCGGCACCGAGAAATGCGTGAAGCCGAAATGCATGCTGCCCGTGGAGGGATGCAAACCCATATTCGTGGATTCCACCTGTTGTCCTGTGAGATATGATTGCAGCAGTAAAACCTCCGGAAAGTCCTCGCAGGAAGTGCGCTACAGGAAGACCTCGAACAAGCACTTCCAGCGGATGTCGCAGCGCCTGCAGCGCAATCGAGGCTGCACTGTAGGAGCCCAGTTCTACGCGGAGGGTCAGAAGATGAGATCGGATGTGGACAGGCCCTGCGACATATGCTTCTGCATCCGAGGAACGCGACGGTGTGCCCCGAAGAAGTGCTCGCCGGCTCTGAAGAACTGCATTCCAGTGGTGCCCAAGGGTCAGTGCTGTCCATCCAGCTACGACTGCGGCAGTCAGCGGGATTATCGCAGATCGCACAACTCCAGGCAGTTTAATCTTTACAACATGCTCTTTGGCAAGGAGGAACCTCTGGAGCAACAGGATCCAGCTCTAATACCCCAAAATTCGATGGCCGAGAGATACCCTCACGATCGTCATCCCACGAGAGCAGCTGCGGGGAATCCCCTGGAGGCCAGTAGTGAGAAGAGCATAATGGACACCCTTCGGGAAGGTCTCGAATTCATAGATGGTAATAACAACAAAATGCTGGCAAACAATTTGGATCTTGTTGGCATAAGAACCACCCAGGCACCACCTTTGATGAGGACGGAACCCAATGAAGAGGGCAGCAGCACTAATACTCTGAGTTTCCTGGACTTGCTTTTGGGTCCCACCACGGAACACGAGGAGACTAGGCAACCTGAATCGACAACGGTTAAGAACACACTCTCCTGGATGGATATTCTTCTGGGACCCGATGAGGAGGAGCTGAGCCCCAAAACAGAAGCCTATTCGGAGACTAGTACTACTCTGAACCAACCCGAGGAAATGATGCCTTCAACAAATAGTATAAAACGCATTGCAGAGGACTTCGATGAACAGTTGGACAATGGAGAAATGGCGGTGGGTGAACTGCCAGCAGAGGCCCAGCAAATTGGTTTGTCGAATGCCGGAATTTGGCCAACACCAGCCTCGGATGTCATGCCCCCACCAAAAGAGGAACCCAGTTTCTTTAACGCCTTTATGGATGGCTTGTCTGGTATGCTCGAAGAACCACTCAATCACACATCGACAACGACCACAACCACATCCACTGAGAGACCAACCACTGTGCATGCACCACCCATGTTCCGACCGTTGCCGAGTGGAAAGCCAATTCACACGCGTATAAACTCGAAACTGGCCAACCTCACGGTGACACCGCCCATGTTGGTGGTGACCAGCAAGTATGGTCAGCCGGTGACCCACAGAACAGCGGATAAGAGGGTCAACGCAACCACTGGCACCACAATAGTCAAAAGCACAGGCAAGCCAAGTGTCGGCACCACCCAGCGAACAATACTGGATACTAATGTAAAATCCACAACAAAACCAAGTACTACGGTTAAGCCCAAGTTGAAGACCACGAGAAAAACCACTACAACTCCGAAACCTACTACTCCAAAACCCACAACTCCGAAACCTTCAACTCCAAAACCCACCACTCCAAAATCGTCAACAACAAAACCCACAACTCCTAAACCTCCGACTGCGAAGCCCACAACTTCGAAACCAACCACTCCAAAGCCAACAACTCAAAAACCTACAACTCCGAAACCTTCCAATCCGAAACCAACTACTACTACAACAACCACCACAACAACAACCACTATACGAACCACCGACAAACCAAAATTTAAGCCAAAGCCTAAGCCCTACATTACAAGCACTCCAAAACCTCTGGTAATCAAGACGAACCCCAGTATTTTGGAAGCTGAACCTCTGGACACCAGTGGTGAACCCACATTGCCACCCAGTCTTCCCAACTTAAAAATAATACCCTTCCTGCCAACCGATGCTGTGGAAACGGTTCTTAAGGAGAACTATACGCCCAACTTCTACCAGCAGAAGGTGGCCTCAGATAAAATGGATGTGGTTGGGTATGATAGCATAGATGATTCGGTAGCTCTATTCTCGCAATCCCAGCCGGATCAGGCTGCCTATAAGTACAAGTTCAATGTGGAAGTGCCAGCGGTGGAATCCGCACCAGAACCAGTTGTTCATGTGGGTGGTAAATATGAAGGCAGTGCGGCTTACGTAAACTTCGATTTCGATCGGCCGGTGGTGCCGCCCGCTCACAATGGATTCTCACCTCCCACCGAAACAGAGGGGGGCTTCATGCCCAAGGAACCACTCGTTATCGATGGGGAAGTCCTTCAGGAACATGTCACCTCAAGTGGAATCAACGGGCCGGTTGATAACTTCCATGTGACGCAACACATTGTCGATATCACAACATCGGGGGCACAGGCAAACGATACTGCTTCGATAGGTGAGCTAAAATGAATTATTTTATTAATTTAAAGAATAGAAATCAGGTTTTTTAAAACTACTTAAAATTTTTACAAATTATTTGGTTCCTTGTTTAAAATATAAAGTTATCCAATCGATTCCGATTTATACTAAAATAAATTGGTTTTCTGGAGCGCTTAACCAATCCTGCACATGTATATTTTTACATAGGCTGTTTTCTTTTAAATTAAACGAATGCCTTTGTTTGTAAAATCAAATCAATTTACAATATTTTTAAACTGTAGATTTCTGTTAGATTTCTATCAAACTGTTTCTAAATGAAGTACCACTTTAGGAATAAATACTCAAATTTAAATTGACGTCATCTAAAAATTTGGTTAGGGTGCGGTGCATGTCATATTCAATCGATTGTGAGATCTGTCTTTATCCAGATTTTACTGAAAATATCCTTTTGTTTTTTCCTTCTATTCAGAAATCACCACACCCGATCCATTTAAAGATGTCATACACACAGAGCCGTCGCCCAATCTCGATGAATTAATCGTTGACAAGGCGAACAAGAAGCCGATTGAAGAGCATATCGAGACTGTCACTTACAGTGTTAGCAACTCAACGGCATCCTTCATATCGTCATCTACCAGCAGCACAACAACAACAACAACGGCAGCAACAGCAACAAAAGCAGCAACAACGGAAAAGGAAACCCCCTTGATAGATAAATATGAAATCAATAAATTAGATAAGCTCTTGGATGAGCTGCTTGGCATGGAGTTGTCCAAAGAAGAAGTAGTGAGCAGCACAGTGCCGGCATTTAAGCAACTGCCAACGGCAACACCAACAACAGCAGTAGCAACAACAGCAACAGCAGCAACAACGACGACAAACACGCCAGCAACATCAACCGCAGGTCGGCCACCAGCGACAACACGTGCCCCGGCCAAAAAGGGAAATAGTAAAACGAAAAACAAACAGACCAACGGCAATAGACGCAAAGTCCAGAGTGCCACGCGACGGCAGAGCACGGCGGCAACCACTAGAGCTCCACCAGCAACAACGGCATCATCTGCGGCAACAACCACGGGGCAGACCACAACAACAACGAGCGGCACTCTGCATCCATTTTTAAACTCACCGTTCGACAAATTGCCCTTCATGGATACCAGCTATGAGGTAAGACCACACCGATTGCAGCCGCAGCAGCAGGCGTTGCAGGCATCGCAGCAACAGCAGCAACATGAGCAGCCACCGCAGCAATTCCACCATTACCAACATGCAACACGACCGCCGACAACCGCCCCACCAGCATCATCCCCGGAGGATGTTGCTCAGGGATTGGATGCGGGTTCGGGTTCGGGGGAAAGGAAGGGAGCTGGAGGAGCAGCAGGAATTCTAGGGGGCGATGATCCCCTCGGTCAGTTGAAATTGGCGGGCTGCAACATTTACGGACGCATGTATCGGGTGGGTCGGATTATAGTGGAATTATCCAGCCAGTGCCTGGAATGCAAGTGCACCGAGGTGGGCGTCAAGTGCGGCCCATTAGACTGTTAATTTAGATATCCTCCATGATCGTTGTCCCCCAGGGAGTGTATAGAGGTTAAGTGTCAGTTCGTAGCAGTAGTTCGTAGCTTGCATGCTAATCCCTAGCTGTAACTAACTAAGGGGTAGTTTAGGCCTTTTTAGACACTAAGTTGTATTATAGATAATTACAATGATTTCTTTGAAAACATAACATAAGATACACTGCACGGCATTTATAACATATATTAATTAAGGTTATAATAAGGACCAAATACATTAAATAAATAATTAATACAAATAATAAATACTTATATCAATTGTGGTTTTAATACGGATTAAATAAGAAATTGAGGTTTGAATTAAATGGGAACATAATTTCGTGTTGGATAATAAAATAATAACAAATGAGGAGCAATACATTATTTACTGAAATTAAAAAAAAGAATGAAATCCAATCAATTCGAGCAGATAAATATTTATTCAACCTTGTTGTAAATTTTGACAAATAACTAATTGCAATAAATTTATAAATATGTGCATAGTTGTTACTGCACTTAGTCACTTAGTTTGGCAGTGACAATTAACGCATTGTTCAGTTTTAATTACACATCGAAATTTGTTACAAATTGTTTTTGAAATCCCTGAATCTAAAATCCACTTTCCTGACTACAATAGCATTAATTACCCAAAACCATTTGATGAGTAATCAATTAATTCAGTCGAGAAGCCAATCAGCTAACAAGTGTAAACCAATTAATTGAGTGGCAAGTAAACAAGCCATAAAAACTAGCAATAAAAAATTGACCACCCTTTTAGGAGGTGTAACATTTATGTTTATTCATAACACAATAAATTGTGCTTGATGAACAGAAAGAATAATAAGTTTACAACGGTTTTTGTGACCAAACAATAGAGACCGTCCAAAAAAAACGAAATATTTTGCAGACTTTGCAATTAGGGACAGCTTGCTTACCAGAATAATAACAAGTTAAATTACTTTATAAACTTATTTAAGTAAAAGATCAGTATAATGGCAATCCAAATTTGTTTTCATAGATAAATAATTTTTAAGAAGATTATTTGTTTTTGTAATTTATACTATTCGATTTCCGATTAACCTCTTGATAAGACTTCTTTAAAAAATTTGGTTTACTTTTTTATCACATATTTTTGGGCTCGCAAATATCAAGAATAGTTTTGTTAAATATAAAAGGGGATTACAAAAATAGATGGAAAAATTAACTATAAATTAAATAATTAAAATGTATAGCTAAATATAATTCAACTAATTTGAGACTAACAGTATATGGCCGTTTGAGTCGGTTGCCGGATGCGTCGGTAGGCGATAAGACCGCAGAGAATTCCGGCCACGCCCCCGCCAATATGCGCCTCCAGACTGATACGCGGATTGCGATTGTGATTGTGGTGAAAGTGGTACATTGTGAAACCCACATCGCTGAGGAACAGAATCAACAGGGCGGCGATGCGGGCATAGCGCTGCGACAACTGCGAAAAGTTCTATTCGACAAAGTGGGAATCGTGTAAACATTAAATCAAAATTAAATTGCGGTTTCCAGCTGACTGACCCGAACCAGGTGCGGCACATGACTTCCCAGCATGGCGTAGACCCCGGCGGAGGCCCCCATCAGGAGGAGATGGGGCTGCAGCCAGGCGTTGGCCAACGAACCGGCAACGCCACCCACGATATAGACCACGGCCAGGCGCCAGTGACCCTGCTCCACTTCCAGGCAGATACCTATAAAGCACTGACAGAGACATTAACCTTTCTTAGTAACACATTGCAACAACAGGTGGCTTTCAGCAAGGTGTTAACAGTCAATGTATTGGTGACCCTAACTGGGCACGATGTTAAAAACTTTAATTAGTTTGGTCATTGAGGATATGAAACTGTTACAAATAAAAATTAATTAATTCGTTTGAATTTAACTCAATATGTTAAAATAATTCAAGGCTTACTACTAAGAAATTATAAGGAGAATATACATAGCAATATTATATTTATATTAAAGGGGGTATTGTGTAGATTGGATTATGAGGAAGAATTTTTCAATCAACTTTCGGCGCGGAAGCTTGCCTTCGCAACCATGAATCATTGTGACAGAAATTAAAATTGTACATACAGTGGATCGCAGCTTATTTCGTGCAGTTACCTAAAAATATTAGCTTTTAAATTATAAATAATAAGTTAAGAAGAATGAACTGCACGAAATAAGCTGCGGCATGAAAAAAGCCTGCACATTTTGTTTTTATTTAATAAGTATTTTGTTTTTACGATTAAGGAAATCGTTTTAATTTAATAAACAAGTTAATATTCCCTTTTAAAATACTGCATTTAAATTTTTCTGTCATCTTTCTTAGTTTAGCTGGAATAACGACATGCACTTTTTTTAGGTAACTGCACGAAATAAGCTGCGATCCACTGTATATGTAAATGTTGCAGCAGGGTTATTCTCGTCCGACATCGTAGTAGCGCAGCAAGTTTCGGTTTCGCACACCTCAAGTCCCAAACGCAACTAAATGCATCGTTCCTTCTTCCTTCTGTGCTTACCACCGAACCACACTCGGCGACAGCGACACTACGCTGTCGCCCCGCTAAAACGCAATTTCTTAAAGCGACGCAATATTACCAATAGTGATGAAATAGGCCTTCTGATGAAATTCCCGAAAATATACCCATACACTCATACCAACATCCACACACTCTTAGTATGCGCCGACATAAATATTGGTGTTAATAAATAAAGTTTCCCATCTGATATGTGACGAATGAAATTAAAAAAAAAACACGAATGCCAGGATTCTGGTCTACAAACCAAACAGATAACAGGAACCACTTGGTAATTATAATGTGTCTTAGATTTATTTTGACACAGTTTTATGGCCTTCTGCCCTTGTCCACTAGTTTGATTAATGAAATGGCAAAAAGTGAATCATTTTGTTTATAGAATGGCAGCCATCTTACAAGACTAAAATTAAGGCAGGCTTGCACCTTGTTGGCGCCCAAAACCTGATTTTTTTCTGGAATTTATTTCTTGGAAAGTATGGTAGGTGTGGGAATAAAATTTTAGCCAGTTGTAGGGTACAGTTTATTGAAGCTACACAATTTTTTTGAGTGCGATCCAAGCGAAGGGGGGAGGGGGAGTACCCAACAATGGCGGCATGTCCGCGAAAAACTCGTCCTCATGGCGGATTTTTTGGAATTTTAAGAAATAATCTGAAACGCAAAAAACGAATATATTCTTAATCTGTACACTTGCTCGCATGGCTTTAACTAGGATAATTGAAAAAACATAAAAAATGCAAAAATTATGAGCTTTTGAAAAAAAAATCGGTTTTTTCCTCATTTTTTCGTTACTCATTATTTTTTTAAATAAACAATTTTTAATATTTTCAAAAGATCCTAGTCTATGCCATGCACATACTTCTGAGGAACATGTATAACAAATTTCATGACGATTGCTCAATTTTTGCGGCTTGTACGACTTCCGCCAACTCGGAAAACATGGTTTCGAGAAAAACGCGTTTGAAAATTTGCACTATAATGGCAACGCGCTTGACACCGGTCCACCAAACGGCCGATAACTTTCGTAATTCAAGAGATTTCGACTTGAAATTTTAGGAGAGTAAAATTGAAACATGTATGTATCCGAAACTGCAAAAAAAAAAATGATTTTTTTGACCTCACAAGGTGCAAGCCTGCCTTAAATAAAAAATAAATGAAATGCCTCTTTCGATTAAATTAGTAGACTTTCAAATTAATACTTAATAACTAACAATGAATCGATAAATATCCTTATACATACATATGTTCAAAAAAAATGAAGCTATTATAAATGTATATTTCCTATATGGGATATGATAAGATAAACAAACAAGAACAAATTATCTTTAATAACTGTGTTGATATATGTATACTGTAATTATAACAAAGCCCAGATCAAAGGTGTAACTTTAATTTGGCCTGTGGTTGGTGCTCACCTGTAGACAAATGTTGAGAGTCAGGTGCCAATAATCGGAATGGAGCATCATATAAGTCAGTAGTCGCCAGCACTCCCCGCTCCACTTGGGCTTAAAGATCAGTCTTTTTTGCATGCACTCATTAGCAATAAAATACAGTGATATCTGGTGGATAGTAAAAATAAGACAGAGGGAAGAACTCTAATTACACTGCACCATACTACAAAATACTTGAAAATATGATTACTTCACTACAAAAACAATACATATAAGGTATGCGTTTTTTTATTTACCTATTCTTTTTAATAAATAATGTGTATATATATTTAATTTTATTGTATTTATTCACTAAGTGATCAAAATGTATTTATTTATAAATGGTTTATATTAAAATGTTCACAGTTCTAATTAACTGTATCTAAATTCTCTTTTTTGGAATTACTAAAGTTAAAAAAAGGTTATTCATTTTCGTATAGAAACTCGCTTTGTTCTCAAAATTTCTTATTATATAAATGGTGACTAATGCGATATTTTATATTCGTTTATTTAAGTTCGCCATTGTCATAAGTTTGACGAGTTATAATTTATAATGTTTATTTCCTTATTGAGCTTAATAAAATTTTAAAGAATTAAGACTTCTTATTGCGATTCAAAAATAGGCAATGCCAGTTTTTAAAAGCTCGCCAACAGTTTTGTAAAAGGTACTTGTTAATGGTACCTAGTTGCGGTAAAATGTGTTTACAAGTGAAAGGTACACAGTTTTCCAAATATTTCTCATATAAAATGTTGAAATATTATTAAAAAACATATTTGTTTAAGTACTCCAAATATTTTATTTTCAAGTTAAACTTGATGTCAGTATTTGTGTATGTAATTAGGATAAAAACTAAGGTACAAGTGTCTTTGTAGGTACTCCCCAATTCTGCACCAAATGTAACTTCCTCTATCGGATGCGTTTAAAGTCTTTGCCAAATCAAAGCTCCTTCAACTTTGCTGAACAGTGTCATGGCAATTGCCTGTCACTTTCGCTCAAACGATCGACACTTGGCCAACTGAGAAGTGCGAGTGTTGAGTTGAGATGCCGCACAATGTGCGCCGCATGACTTGACAGTAGCCGCAAAAACACGGCTGCGACACCAAATCGGTGCAACATGCATCCCGATCCCACCAAATATGACAAATGCCAGAGCTGCCAGTTGCAACATTCAATCGATTCGATGACTAAAATGGCAATATAGCTAAATCGGACCAGCGACGCGTTCGATTGTGCAATCACTGCAGACAGAGTTGTGGGTTGGGCATCGGCAACACAATAAAACCTTGCCGATCACCGATCTGCATAGCTGAGTGTGCGGAGTGAGTATTTTACGCATGCAGCAAGGTATCAACTAATGAGTCTTGCACCAAATGGGTCACACTTGTGGGACTTTGTTGGGGAGCGGGATTGGCCAAGAGCCCATTACTGATTAAGCGATTTAACACTTGATAGCAAATCCAATTAGCAGTCTCATTCGTTTTAAATATATTTCTTATTTTGCTGTTATTTTGATTCACTGCGGAGTAACATTAAAAACATTTGGGGAAGCATAAAAATAGTTATAATTCTATAACATGCATTGGTCCCCAAATAGATAAGCTTTTAAATGTGTTTGTTAACTTAACATTTACTTAAGCTAATACAAAATATAAGCTAATTAATTTTTGAATTATCTAAATTTAGTTAATAAAAGTATTTTATTATTTCATTCCGAAGAAACTAATTGTTGCAAAATCCAATTAGTACACATAACCAATAATTCAATTTCTTATGCGGTTGTTAAGATTTAAGACTTCACAGACCTCAAAAAGAACAATTTAAATAAATATGAATCCAATATATTACTTATATTTCACTTAGTCCAAACCACAACAAGTCCACATACAAATAATTTTCCAGTGAATGAAAATTCAAATGAATTGAGAAGGAATAATTTATGAAGCACTAATACAGTGGCACCATCCACGGGGTAACCCAAACAAACGAATGGTTTTGTTTAAAACAAATCAAATAATAATTGAGACGCGTGATTATAAACAGACACTTTTTAAGAATACTTCTGTTTACTTTGTGTAGTACAATATCAGCATGAATAAAACAAAAATCTTATTAGAACGAAAGTTTACTAAATACTTAACACTTACTAATATTTTATCAGTTATATTTTAATTAGAATTCTTTCCGAAGATATTTTTGTGGCATCCCCGAAAATATTTGTTCGTTTAATGCGGTAACTATTTACGGTTTTTACAATAAAAAAATAAGTCCACTTTAATTCAAGTTTTAATACTCCAATTAAATAAATCAAAATTTAATTTGAAGATTTTTGACAAAGATCATATTTATAAAATCAAAGTCTCTTACAGTTTAAAGCAATCAAGATTTATTTTAACACACACGACACTGAATAAACAATTGAATTCTTTGCAATCAAAACTTTTTTTGGCTCATAACAAATAATTTCACCTTTGACATCTCGCAGGTAGTTTAGAGATAACGTATTTTTTGGAACTGCATAGATTCTCTTGTATATTAAAAGCTTTTCATCGTTAAATAATTATTTTCTGAATTAAACACACATCACTTATACATCACGTTGCCGGGTAAGAAAAAAAAAATGAAGAGACAATCGAACAAGTGGAGCACCTGCATAGAATCGAACCTGCATAAAACACATCAGCAAAATAAATGAGGGCACCCGCCACACACGTTTCCTCCTCACATTCCCCACATCATCAGTCCGTCTTAGGTCATCAATGAAAATCTTCTGCAATTGAGAGCGGGAAATGACACCCGTCGGATTGCCAACCGAAGAAGTCTCTGGCAGCAGCAGGAGTCTGACATCCTTGACGCTATTGTCATTATTTTCACTGGCATTGTTACCCTCCAGTTGGGCAGACATAATGCGATTTGAAGTCGGCGACAACCGATGCGCTGAACACTTAACACGCGACTAGGCCCGATGGTTGATTGTTCTTCCAAACCCCCACGATCCATTCCATTCCGATCCGACCGAATCATTCCGGCTGGAAATCTGTACGAGTGTGCGCCCATCAAAGTGATTGTGGAGCATCTGAAAAGCAAACTTTTAGGCGGGTGGGGGTTCGGGTCTTGACTAGAACATATTTTTTTAGTTTTGTTGGACTTATAATCATTTTGGCTTATAATTTATCATACTCAAAGTACAAAATTAATTGTATGCTGTTAAAGAAGAAGAATTAATATTCTACCCATAGAAGATGAAATAAAGAGTCTCACTTTTTGTTAAAATGTTAAATATTTATAAATAAACTTCATTCATGCAGGTCCTAATTTATCGCAACTTTTCGCCTTATTTTTAAAAATTGTTTAAGTAATTCTATTTTTGAAGGTTAATAATGAATCAACGTTATTTTTGTAATAAACAAGAAATCTAAGAATGAAACCTTATTCCCGGAGGTCCAAATTTATCGCAACTTTTGGCATTATTTTTTTAAGTTGCTTATGTTATTGTTTTTCCGAAAGTTTGATGTTGAATCAACGTTCTTTTTTTGAAAAATGAGAAATGTAATAAGAATTATAACGAATACGTTTATTGTTTTAATTTTTATTTACTTTTTTTTTTTATTTTGTTAAATTTTAATAAAAGAATAAAAAGTTGGCAGTGATTCATCATAAGGATATGACATACGAACCCAAAGTTATTATGGATAAAAAATGATCAGGAAATAAATTATGCTTAGAGTTTTAAGTTATTTGTTAATTTCGTAAAGCTTTATTTAAATTGAAAACGATTTTATCCAATCCTAAAGTGATTAGGAATTTAAAATATTTTGAAATTATAAAAAGCATACACAAAAAAAATGTTTCATTATTAAGAATAAATTTAAGAAAAATTTTAATATTTATTGAATATTTGTTTTTTAAGTGAAACATAATTTTAAGCTACCCTCTTATTTGTTATAAGAATTTTTTAAATTCCTCACAATAAATTCAAACGCGTCATTGATAAATAATTTGCTTGAAAGCTTTCATAGATTGTACTGATTAGTCCTGAGGGGTATGAACATTGAAATAGTTTCAAGCAAAAAACTAAAATGGCACAGATACCCAGCGGCCAACCACTAAACACTTTAATATTCCAGCCAACTTGTAGCTCGAATTGAATTTGGCCCAGCCCCATCCTTGGCATTTGACATTTTAAAGTGAACGGTGTTGCACAGAAGTTGCAGGAACAATAACAATCCCAACACACCAGCGACTTGTTTACACAGAATTGTGGTGAAAAGCTTTCTCTCTCTTTCTCCGCGCTCGCCCCATCTCTCTCGTTCGCCTGCAGCCGTCTCTTTCGTCACTTCGCTCGGGCTGGACACGTGGTGGGCGCTAATGGTGGGAGGTGGCTGTCAACACCGAATGCTTGGTTATGAATGGCTTTTAATGAAATATTTATGTAACATGCAATGAGGAGCACTTTTGGCTTCTGGACGGAAGCGAAAGAGATAGCAGCTATGCGGAGTGGAAATGCAGAAAGAGACGGGGAGAACACAAGAGCGTTGGAAATAATTGTTTGGCTAGTTAAGTTTGACGCAACGTTAAACTAAGATAAAGCAAACACATAAACGAGGAAACACACACTTGCCACAACACACAGCTGCGGTCAAATTCATATAAGAGAAAATAACTTTGTATACGATTAATTGTGTTTCCGTTTCAAAGCTTACCTTTATAATAATTTTGGTATTAGAATCAATACCAGAATGTTTGCAGAGTTTAAGGGGCTTCATAGGCAGTGTAATTTTCCAAATCTGAAACGTTAATTTAAGTAGTAAGTAGCATAGTGCGGTATTAGCTGTATTGGAAAAAAAGAATAAATAATCTTAGATTAAGTTTCTTTTTTTTACACAATTCCTTTCACATTACTAGGTTTGGTATTTTATAAATCCATGGAATTTATAAATTAATTAATCTTAGTATTATAGTTGTATTACACAATTAAGGGTAAGATTTACTTCGTTTACTATAATTAGCTGGTATTCTCTTGGTTAATTCTCTTACACATTTACTATTTCCTTAACCGCAATTGTATATAACTGAGTTTATCTAAGTGTTTGTCATAAACTTCCCTGACTGGTTGTGTTGCCAAAAGTCATTAACAGTCAACGGTTACGTGCCACAACAGCAGGGGATGCACCCAAAACAACAATCCGAATTGACAAATGCGGCAAGGCCAAAGAAAAGCGGGAAAGTTGGCTAGGCCAGACACAAAACCTATCTCTGCAGATGTGTCTGACATGTCTGTGTGACTTTATTTGCTCGCCCCCGGCTTTCATGCCAATCCGGGTAGCTTTAAAAAGTTTAGTTACTTTAAGTTAAGTGTTTAGCAACAGAAAGTTAAATCACTTAACAAAGATTTAAAGGGGTAAAAAGATACATTTGTTTTTATACCCTTGCAGAGGGTATTATAATTTTGGTCAAAAGTGTGCAACGCAGTGAAGGAGACATCTCCGACCCTATAAAGTATATATATTCTTGATCAGGATCACCTCCTGAGTTGATATAGCCATGTCCGTCTGTCCGTCTGTCCGTCTGTCCGTCTGTCTGTCCGTCTGTCCGTCTGTCTGTTTCTACGCAAACTAGTCTCTCAGTTTTAAAGATATCGAATTGAAACTTTGCACACACCCTTCTTTCCTTTGCACGCAGTATATAAGTCGGAACGGCCGGGATCGGCCGACTATATCCTATAGCTGCCATATAACTGATTGATCGGAAATGCCATAACTCTGCTGTTTGTTAAGTTAGGAAGCTGGGATTTTCTATGGGTTTTATATTTGACCAATTAATCCGACCTATTAAATTTCATAAGGATCGGACGACTATATCTTATAGCTGCCATATAACTGATTGATCGGAAATGCCATAACTTTAGTGTTTGTTAAGTTAGGAAGTTGGGATTTTCTATGGGTTTTATTTTTGCCCAATCAATCCGACATATCAAATTTCATAAGGATCGGCCGACTATATTCTATAGCTGCCATATACATAACTGAACGATTGGAAATGCCATAACTTTGGTGTTTTTAAAGTTAGGAAGTTTGGATTTTTTATGAGTATTAAGAATGCATCATATGAATAATTTTGGAGAATATAATTTGCAGAATATTCTGCAAGGGTATTTCAACTTCGGCTCCGCCCGAAGTTAGCTTTCCTCTCTTGTTACTTGGTGAAATCTTTGTTAAATTCGCAAAGAACTGGACCTCTAAATTAAATTGATACAATATAAAAAGTCTTGGTATCTTCCTCATTAGGATGATAATTTTAATTTGACTTTTCATCAATGTTCTTATGGGAATAACTTACCAAATGAGGGGCCTCTCATAAAGCAAGTATGCCAACAACTTGAACACGCCAGTGAAACCCCAGGGGCATAGCATAATTTCGGCGAAGCCCACTTGGTTCCTTTTTCCTTGAACAGGACCAAGATGTTCCACTTTAGCAGCACCCAAATCCGAATCCGAAATTCCCCCTCAGCCAACTGAGGGAAGCAAAAAACGTTTAGGCAAATCTTTGGGCTAAAATCTTGAGCAAACAAGCTCATTACAGGGCAGCAAAATACAAAAAAAAGAAAAGCCAAAATAAGACGGGGCGAGCGTTGTAAGCGAGGCAACTAAGTGTGCCACATGATTGAGTGACTTGGCTCCAAGGGGGCGTGGCAGCGACTGAAGACCATTACGGTCACAGTTTATGACCGCAATTTTATTGATACCGCCAAGGGGAGCGAATACAAAATAAAATAAAGCAACCCAAATCGGGTAAATCCAAAGAGCCCCAAGGAATCTCAACGGATTGCCGACTATAAAGCGCAGTGGGAACATTTTCGAGAGTTCGCCAGCAATGTTGGGCGGTTTTATTACGGACTCAGAGGCAATAACAATCACTACCAAGCACTACAATAAACTAATCTAATGTGCGCATCAAATTTGCATGCAGCAGCGACTCAGCAGCGTTTTAAAAGACTTCTCCTGAAAAGCCTGCGATGATAAGGCGTAGAGCAAATTACGCCTTTCAGGGCTGACATTCTCCACTGGCAAATATTAACAAGCTTCGTTTCTTTGGCCTAGCATGTGTCCACGACCTAGAGATGGGCTCACAACCATCTACCGGCAACCAGACTCGAAAAAATGTATGACATAAATAAAAGACTATCTTTAACTTAATTTCAGGTAAATTACTATCGTTTCTTGTTAATGTAAAACCAGGGAAACATCTTAAATTTCAACAAATGAGTTTTCTGTTTTAAATTCCTTCTTGAACATTCTTTAAAATTGGGAAACTTGTAATACAAGATTCATTCGAACGAAATTTTTTCTGGCTTACGAGTCGAATGAGTAATTCTGTATAGTATTCGCTATTTTGTAAAAATATGATATTTTTACTATATATAATTTGTTTATACATTTAAAGATTGCAACCATTCTTAGGATTTAAACGATTGCTCGTTTAAAATGCATCAAATATATAAATGTTTATTTTCTTAAACTGTTTCTGGCTTACGAGTCGTATGAGTAATTCTTTTAAAGCAAAACAATTAAATTTTTTTGAGAAATCAAATCGAGAATCAAAATAAATTTAAACAAAATTAGTTTATATCTTTTGGAACAACTTACAGTGGTATAATATTTTTAATTTATTAAACCTAATAACAGGCGAACTGATTTATATTTTAGAAATTAAATAACAATAGTGCAACTATTTTGCTTCCCTCGAAAAAGAATGTTTTGTTTTAGTGGAGCAACTAGAAGAAAAGCGAGACGATCTCTTTTCCAAACTTGTTTTAAAGTACCATTTGTATAAGAACTGAGATAAGATAAAAATCTTAAAATAATTGCCAAATAAGTTTAAAATAACAAAAATAATCAAAAAAGACAAGCGAAACTTGTTGAGGTTAAGTCAT